TGGGACTCCACCTCCTCAGGCGGGAGGCCTCTCCCCTCTGCTCCCTGCACCCGCCGGGTCCCTCCTGTGGCCCTGTCCTCCCTGATGGGTCCCTGCTGGAGCTCTCGGTGCAGTAACTGCTTCAGTGAGTCAGTTCTGTGCGTCGGCCTCTGGGCTTCATTTTCTTCGTACTGTGACTCATTGTCCTGTTGGGTCGTTTGTGTTACTTTTTAATATTGATTGGAAGAAACTGAAAGACATCCCATGATTTAATCCTTTTTTCCCTTTTCTCCTGTCAGTATTTGCTTTCTACTCTGCATACTCACCTTAATATTTTCTATTTGTTTCTTGCTGGTGTATGGTAATCTAGTGGATTTTAAAAATATTGATCTTTCCAGCAATCTTGTTAAATTGATTTATCAGTTGTATCTGTTTTTAGATTTTGTGGATTCTCTCTAAATATCACTAATATATGGACATTTTATTGCTTAGAAAACTTTACACCTTATTTTTTCTTTTTGCCTCTCCCCCCACTACTCCTCCAATAAGAAGTTGGAGATAGTGGAGGCGCCTGCTCTAGGCTTACTTCTAGAGAAAAAGCTGTCAACGATCCTGTATTTATTGTGTTGTTTATTGTAGGATACTTTTTAAACAATCTCGATCAGAGTAAGGAAGCCACTTTTTTACTATACTGCTAGCAGTGTTTTTTTAAAGTCATACTGATTTTTTAAATGCTTTTCAACATTCAGTCTAAATGGTCATGTGATTTTCTTCTTGAATTTTCACTTAATTGGAAAATTTACATGGATTGTTTAAAAATGTTCACCACCTCTTGCATTTTTTCTTGTATCTCCCTTGTTCTTCATTATATTTTCATATGTGATTTAATTTATTATAAGAATACTATGGATATATACATCTGTTTATGAAAGGCTTATTCTACTTAATTCATATTTCAAGTTCCGGTCAACTTGCACCATCATCCATGTAATGAGGGCTTTTCATAAGCAATTTGAAAATATTCTCTGCTTATTTCTACCTTAGTACATCTGCAAAACATCTATGTGTTTGGAATATTTTTTTCTTTCCTTTTTTCCCAAAGATTTATTTTATGAAAGGCAGACTTGCAGAGACGCAGAAGAGAGAGAGAGAGAGGAGAGTGAGCTGATCTGAAGCCTGGAGCCAGGAGCTTCCTCCAGGTCTCCCACACTTGTGCAGGGAATTCCAGCAAATATATCATGGTTTTGTGCAAAAACTTGAAATCTATGTATACTTTTTTGTATAATGCACATTTTCCATGGTCCAGTGCTGACCACTGCAGCCATCTGGGGAGTGAACCAGCAGACATAAGATCTCTCTCGCTCTCCTTTTCTCTGTGACTTTAAAATAAATAAATCTTTAAAATGAAGTTTTAGGAGAGAAGAAAAATAGAATAGAAATGTTTCTCACCTGATGAGAGTTCAGTTAGGCATTTTCCACTTTATGATGGTACAAAAATGTTACATATTCAATAGAAGATATACTTCCAGTTTTAATTGTGGTTTTTCCTTCAGCTTGTAGTTTATGCTATGATACTCTCTTGCAATGCTGGGCAGTGGCAACAAGCCACATGATCATGAGGGCAAGCAACTGATCCTTTACAGTGTGCTGTGTTGTTGAGCTCTAATGTTCAGTATGATGTGTATTGAATGATATTTCTCTTTTAATGATTTTTCTAAATTCTTAAAACACAAGTGGTAAACCTGAGTAGAAAGAGAAAGCATGAGGATCAGTCAGAGACAAAGTAGAACAAAATGAGCTGCAGGCTGGTTTTGCTGTTTCTGCAGAGCAGGGTGATGGGAAGTCCTGAAGTGGTTCAGTATGTTGGCTTTGACAAGTAGACAGTTGTCAGTGATCTTTTGTATCTTTTTGGTCTAAATTTTGTTTATTTCTTCTCTAATTTTATTAATAAATAATATCTTTCCTCCAATTTTGGGCTTGGTTTGTTCTTGTTTTTCAGGTCCTTGAAATTCATTATTGGGTCACTTATTTGATATCTTTCAAGCTTCTTGATGTAGGCACTGGTTGCTATAAACTTCCCTCTTAACATTGCTTTTGATGTTACATTCCTGGGTAGGAAATTTAGGAGCTGTGTGACCTTGGGAGAGTAGCTTGGCCCCTTTGAGAGCTTATGCACCTTATGTAAAAAAGTGAATATGAAAAGGGTTTCCTCCTTGATTATAATTGCCAAAAATGCATGTGAACTCATTATCCTAAAACTACATTAAATACCACAAAATGGCAATAGCAACTGTATGCAAGTTTACACAAAGCTCGGAATGCTCTCAATTCCTTTAGAAAGCACTTGAGGTTATTAAATAAATCAGCACATACCTTCTAAGAAGTAAATTCATGTATAAAAGAGGAAGTACAAGAACTGAGAGGCCTGAGAGACCCCTTGCATTGAATGATGTAAGGGAGTGGAGGCCTGTGTTGGTTGTTAGCAGTGGTCAGAGAGGCACTATCATGGTCCAAGTGATGAAAGAACATATCCAGGTGTGCAGTTGGGGAAGTGACAGTTGAGTGAAGGAAAAGGCTGTTTGGTAGAAAAGTGAGTGGAGCAGAGTGAAGGTGGCTAGTATTCAAGGCCATGAATTTTGACTTCATCTGTTTGTCGTGTGAAGAGAGGGACATCCTGATACGAGTTATTAGATTTTCAGGTTATGTGACTCATGGACAGTTGGAGAAAAGTTGGGACTCTAGGATCTGAGATCTTGTGGTGGGAGACAGACACTTGGCCTGATGTGGTGAGAAGAAGAAACAGGAAACAGTGAAAGTCAAGAGTGGAAAGAGCCTGAATAGGCAGGGGGGTGAGGTCTGATGCTACAGGCAGCTTGGGGAACTGGCACTTGGGTGAGGCTCTCATTTGGACAGACAGTGGGTCATGGGAGATTGTTGGGCTAGTGAATTTCTGAGTGAGTAACCAGACTTCAGTGAACTGAACACAGTACCTGTTGAGAAAATTTGTCAATTTATTTCTCATTTTGACAAATATTTGTCAGTGATAGGAGTGACATAGTCAGCAAGCGGGAGTTCTTTCCTCAAAAGTTTATGGATCAGTGTAGTGGGATACAGACAAATGTGAGCAAGGACCCCTTGATATGTCACTTACTAGGTAAGTATTGGTGGAGTAGTCTCTACTGGGGCTCAAGTGTTGGGCTTGAGTTGCTTGCACAGCTAAGGCTTGGGTTCCTCACTGCAGCGGAGAGATCTTAGTCAAGACTGCCTACCCTCTCATTTTGCTCATCTAGAAAATGGGTTAAATAGTAGCATCACACTTGGAGGGACATTGGGAGGCTGCTGCATGTAAAGATACTTGGTACACATAAGGGTTCATATAGGCACACCTGTATGCACATATGTATGCATGGTACAAGGAAGTGTTCACACAAGCACATGTGTATGTGTGGGTATGTGCCTATTACACAAATGTGCTCTCTCTCACACACACACACACATGTGCATGCACAGACATGTGTCTGGTACACAAATGTATTGGCACACAGATGTTCACATGCACAGATATGTTCCTAGCACACAAATATGCTCATACCTGTACATTAACACACAGATGTATGCCTCATTTACAAAGGTGTTCTTGCAAGCACATGTGCATGCATTCATGTGTGCCTGGTGCACAGATGGTGCTCACTCCCCTGTGTACACACATGTTGCCAAAGATGGAGGCAGATGCAGGGTGTCTTGGTGACCCAGGCACCCAACCAAAACAGGAGAGCCCAGAGTTCCAGGTGAGGCTAATTAGGTAGAGTGGCAAATAAGTAATGTCAGAACTCCTTGGTACACAGAAGGTACCAAATACAGTTCACTTCAGTCTGCAGAAAGCATGCAGGCCACACTTGCTTCCCATTCATGCCTGATTTATTAAATTAAAAAATACAGGATACACTCCTAATTCAGGATTCATAAAAGCAATGAATACTTTGTAATGTAAGTTTGCCTAGTGAAATACTTCTGCCATATATTGTTTTTATTTAACTGGGAATTCTGTATTTTATCAGCAAGCATATGTTGGTTCCTAAATTCATGGTGTAAAAGTTGGGATAATTATATTCTGGTTAGGCCCTCCTTTTGGGGATAAGAGAGATTTTGTTCATTACTAGACATGAGGAATAAACTTTTGTTCACAAGGTTTTGTTCACAGCCTTTCTAACACTCATGCTCATTTTGAGATGCCAGAAACATAGCTAGAAGGAACTTTTGAAAGCAAGCACCTTGTCACCCTTTCCCTCATGTGTCCCCAAAATAGCAGTTCAACCATTGCTATCCAATCCTTCTAGAGAACAACATCAATGCTTTCTGTTCTAACTCAGAATCCAGAGTTGTGAGTCTTCATATTCCACAAATGCATTTTCCAATCTGATAGTTCCTTGGTGTATTATTTTCTTTTTTTTAACCACAGAAAGGTTTATGAAGACAGTTTCTGAGATAACTTAGACCCTAAAATCACTACATTGGAAAAGCTGATCTCTGCCCAAGGAAATGGGTAAGCAAGCCATGGAGCGTGCAGTTGGAGGAGTTCCATGCCCAAGTCCATTACTGTGTGAACGCACTTTGTTCACCTCAGAAAAGTTTCCCCCATAAGGGAATTTGGGTAAAACATCACTGTAACTAGACAACTCACAGGTAGATGGTTCAGCAGGTGGACAGCACATCTGTGCAATAAAAAGTGCCTCTCCTGTGAAGAAGGCCCACATCAGGCAAGATGTGTGCTTTGATGAGCAGGATGCAGGCAGTATTTCAGCCTCTACTCCCCCATTTTGTGTTGTACACAAACTAAACCATAGGATCAGCATCAGTGATCATATCAAAAATATTGAAGTTGTAAAATAGTGAATGTTTTTGCTGAGTATAGTCTAGGAGATGATGGAAGTGTAGCTGATTACAGAAATATAAAGGAACTGAAAATTTTAAAAAAGGTATAAAATACATATCACCATATTAATAGTGATTGTGGGAACACTGTTAAATTTTTTCTACTTTTTATCTAAAATATTTCAATATTTTGAATTTTAAAACATAATTTTAAAGGAATAGTTTCTTTAGTGGATTAAATCAAAGACAGCTATTTTGGAACTGTTATGGAACCAGCAATAAATCTCAAGAAACACAAAGAATAAAAAAGTAAACAAGAGCCAAGCTTTCAAACACTTTGAAACACCAAAAATTCTAACTTTTATGGATCGCCTGGCACTTTAGTTGCTTGTATGATGAGGAATACTGTTGCTCAGAGGAGTTGGACTAGGCTGAATAAGTTCATCTGTGACAGGGGACATGGCTGAATCTTGGATGAGGGCAATAGAGGTGGGAAGGTCATTCATGCTGAGGATGAATATTAAGATAAAGGAATAGAGGTAGGAAATCATGTCTATGTAGTTAGAGAAAGATTGTTTAGAAATTGGTATCAAATGCACATACATGGGGGAGCTGGCACTATGGTGAGTTAGACTCAGCCTTTTCCTGTGTCACTGGTATCCCATATGGGCACTGGTTCATGGCCTGGCTGCTCTTCTTCTGATCCATCTCTCTGCTATGGCCTGGAAAAGCAGCAGAGTTTGGCCAAAGTGCCTGGGCCTTGGCACACAAATGGGAGACCAGAAGAAGCTCCTGGCCCCTGGCTTCAGATAGGTCCTGCTCTGGCTGTTGCAGCCATTTGGGGAGCGAATCAGTGGATGGAAGACCTTTCTGTTTCTCCTTCTCTGGCTGTGACTCTACCACTCAAATATATAAATAAAATCTTTTGAGAAAGCACATGCAGTTACCCCAAAGATGATGCACAACAACCCATTATGTTGTGGGAAGAATTAAATAGAATTTGTGATATTTTTCCTATACATATGCAAAATATTCAAGTATAACCTGTTATATATGCTTTTAAAGTAAATGTTCCTTACAGAAGTATGAGTATACTATACCCATGTATAGAGCTTTGCATGGCAGAGCAAGGCCTTAATGAAAAGGGTGTTGAATCTTTTTCTGGTGTTGAGGCAACACCTCCAACTCTGACCATCTCTTGGCCTATTTAGCCCTAAGATGGTTTGACTTTATTAATTTTAAAAATTACTTTTGTTGATTTATTTGAGGGGAAGTCAGTAAGGGAATTGGGAGAGAAAGGGGAGAAGAGAGAGCACTCCCACCCACTGGTTCACTTTCAAAATGCCTGCAGCAGCAAAAAATGGACAAGGCCAAAGTCAGGAGCCAGGAATTCCACCTGGTTCTCCAATGTGAGTGGCAAGGACCTTAGTACTTGAACCATCAGCTACAAACTCTGAGGGCCTTCATTACGAGAAAGCTGGAGTCAGGAGTTTGAACTGGGAATGAACTCTAATATGGGACACAGGTGTCTTAACAGGCATCTTAAACACTAGGATAAATGCCTGTCCATGTTTTTTTAAAACAACATTCATGATCATTAGAGTTTGTACTTATTTGGGATATCTACACATTTTCAAGTCAGCTTATTCAGGGCAGTCATAGACATGGTCTGTTCTGTTTCATGCATAGTACCATACAGAGATGATGTTTTTCCAACTTCATTTTTTCAAACTTGTGTGCAGCACAGAAGATAGAGCAGAGAGGGGGCAGTAATTGCCAAGGCTTAATTTTGTCCCCTCACCCTCAAATTCCTGTGTTGAAATCATGACCCACAATATTTCAAACTGTGACCTTATTTTGAAGGAGGGTTATGATGTTATTAGTTAGGATGAGGTCATACTAGAGCATGGTGGGATACAATCCAATTCAGATGATGTCCTTATGAAAAAGGGGTATTTGGAGATAGACATGGGCAGAGGAAGAACACCAGCTGAACATGAAGACAGGGATCAAGGTGATGTGTCTACAAATCGAGGACACCACAGACTGCAATAAACTCACATGGAACTAGGAGAGAGGCCTGGAACAGATTGTCCCCCACAGCTCTCAAAAGGAACAAGCCCTGATAGCCATATGGAAGACTTGCATACTCCAGAACCATAGGACAGTGCACCTGTTCTTTAAAGCCACCCTGGTGCAGTACATTGTGATGGCACCCCTGGAAAATGAACAAACATCAAGGCATTTTTCCTATTTTCTCTAATCTGGCAAATTAAAGGAGTCAAAAAACTAATGCAATTATTTACCTAATGCTTGGAGACATAAGACTTCATTGAGCTCTTCCATGATTTTTCATGAAGTACTAGGGACACTTTTTTTTTGACAGGTAGAGGTAGAGAGAGAGACAGAGAGAGAGAAAGGTCTTCCTTTTTCCATTGGTTCACCCCCCAAGTGGCCACTACGGCCAGTGGGTTGTGGCTGGTGCACTGCACTGATCTGAAGCCAGGAGCCAGGTGCTTCCTCCTGGTCTCCCACGTGGGTGCAGGGCCCAAGGACCTGGACCATCTTCCACTGCCCTCCCAGGCCACAGTAGAGAGCTGGACTGGAAGAGGAGCAACTGGGGGTGGGGGAGAGACATTTTAAAGCTAATTTACTCATATCTACAAGCAGGCTCTGCTGTCATAGAAATCATGAAGATACATAAGAAAGCATCCCTTAGATGCTGTGGAAAATACTCACTCTACATAACTTTACAGCATTTACCATTTTGTGTTATATACACTAGGGTGTTTGAATGTGTGTGAAAAAATAAAAATTTTTCCTAATATCTATTTTCCCTAAACTTTTTGAAGACCTCTTTGTATGACTAGGATTAACTTTTTTACACCAAAAGGCACTGATCCTTTAGTTCCATTTTTCCATGACTTTTAAACTAACTTATTGTATTTGAAAGGTTGGGGGATATTTACTGATCTTTTATATGTTGGTTCATTCATCAAATGTCCACAACGCCAGGGCTGGACCAAGGTAAAACAGGAGCCAGCAGCTCAATCCAGGTCTCCCAGTCACTTGGACTATCACATCACTTGCTGCTTCCCAGGTTGTGTAATATAAGGAAACTAGAATCAGGAGAGAAATAAGGACTTTTGAACTCAGGCACCCTATGTGGTATTTAGGTATCCTAAGCAGATTCTTAACCACTACGTCAAATGTCTGGCCCTCTGAAGTTTTTGAAGTAACTTAATATGTGTATCTGCCCCCTTGGACAGGATTGTTTTCTCCTGGGGCAGCACAAGCTCTGGCTATGGAAATCTTTTATCCTCACATTGAGCTCAATGACTGAAGCACAAAACACACTAGGAAATGTTGAACAAATGAGAGAGTGAACGGATGGATATGCTTCTGCTCTTTCTCCTTGGGAAACTGCCCCTCCATTTGGCCTTGGGGACACTCTCACTCCTTCTCCTAGTACTTCTCTGTAATAAAATGTGGATGACTCCCCCAGGACGGTGTCAGGGCACAAGTCTTGACTTGAACCTGTCACTACATTCCACACCCTGGCTACAGGGGCTGATTTCTGTAGTCGTCTACCAAGGACATACTAGTATTATGATCAAAGTCTGGATACCTACTTGGTGATGTTGTCAAATTTCATAAAAATTTATAATAGTTCACTGTATGCCTGGGATATGCATTCTGTAATTCTTGGATGCATAATTCTATGTATGATTAGATCAAAGTTGTCTGTTCTCTTACTCAGATGTTTTATAGTCTTATTACTACATCTGTTTTATCAATCACTGATAGAAATGTGTGCAAATCTTTGTGATTATGCCTTTTTCAGGTTACATTGTAATTGTAGCTTTCTTCATGTATGTCTGATGTTATTTATTTCCTATAAATTTAGAATAATCACCTTTCCTAATTTTCACTTTTATCATTAAAAAAAGAAATGAGGAGGGGTGTGAAAGCAGTCAGTTTAAATCTACAAAGGAGAATTAGTTTTAAGTTTCTGGTAGGAGTTAACAGAAAGTTTTCTCTTCTCTGCTTAACTGAGTATGGTGGTAGTCTAAGTCTGAAGGTGCTGGAGGCTGTCTCTTACTTCAAGGGGCCTTAGGAGAGATGATGTCAAGACATAGATCCCATATGTTGCTTTTTGAGCCCTGAATCATGCTGTTCTTGCAGCTAGATTCACACACAGATGACAACTATATTAAACCTACATTTCCTTTTCAACAGATTCAAATTTGATTTTTTCTATTTTTCAAAAATATAGGAAAATGCCACACTTTCCCATTTAACATCTTTCAAATGTGTACTAACAATGGCATTAAATATATTCACCTTGTTACAAAACCATCACCTCTATCCATCTCCAGAATGTTTTCCTCTTCCCCAAATAAAACTCTACTCAATGGACAATAATTCCCCCTTTCCTCTCCTCACCCATCTCTGATGACATCTCTCCACCCCATACCAGTTTATATCTTTATGAAAGCAATTATTTTAGGGTTATCATAGAAGAGTAACAAAATGTCCTTTCCTGACTGTATTTCACTTAACATAATGACTTCAAACTCAGCTTCCATCCACGGGTTCACTTGCTGAAATGGCTGCAATGGCCAGAGCTGGGCTGATTCAAAGCCAGGAGCCAGAAGCTTCTTCTGAGTCTCCCTTTTGGGTGCCAGGGGCACAAGTACTTGGGGCCATCCTCTTCTTTTTTCCCCAGCACATTAGCCAGAGACTGGATCAGAAGTAGAGCAGCTAGGACTCAAACCAGTGCCCAAACGGGATGCCAGTGCTACAGTCCAGGGGTTTAACGCTTTGTGCCACAGCACCAGCCCCACCATTTTGTTACCCAGTCTCAAGAGTGGTGACCAGCAGATGGAAGCAGGAATTTTCCTCAGAGATTCAGCTCTTTATCCTGTCATACAGAGATCATGCCCCCCAGTTTCTCACCGGTTTAGAAACTTGGGAGGTACAGTCTTAACCTGACATGGCACCTAGGCCAGAATTAGGTAGGTGTATCAGGCTGGACATTGTTGGGCAGATCTAGAAGAGGGTAAAGGGAGTTACACAGTGGTGTCAGGAAGGCTAACACAGTTCTTGGAACTGAGACATCAGATCATTGTGTGTTACAAAGGAAATGAGTGGCACATGGTTTGCAAAACAAACTCAACACTTAACCTACTCTTTTGGTGACACTCTATCCTACATTCTACCGATTCCTACTGTCATGGCCACACTAATGCTAAGTATTTTATGAAAATACACCATGGGCATTTCTCACACATCAACTTCCATGCAAGATCTTTTCTCTAATAATTGCCATGGGCACAGAAATGAGAGGACCAAGAACCAAAAAGCCCAAAAGGGAAGCTTAAGAAGTTCATGGTGAACAAGGTTAGCTTTACCTTGGACAGTACCTCTCATCATGGGAAGAAACAGATTCTTCAAACAGCAGAAAATAGTTTGGATCTTAAGAAAATTGGACCTTAGATTGTAAAATCAAGAAAGTATAGCAAGATTCAAAACATAGGAACTGGTTTCAAATACGGGTTCCCATCTTCCATATCTCAGACCTCTTAGCACCATAAAACAGATCTTTCACTTCTGCCTGTGGGAAGATGAGAGATCATGTGGGATGGATGAGGTCCTTATCAGCCATTTTCTCCTGTGGCCACACTCCTAGTACTGCTGGTATCCCTTCCTCTGGAGTTGACTGCATCTCAGGCAGCAGCCTTCTCTGCCTTGGTCTACTTAAATGAGAGCAGGTCAAAGTGACTAATGAGCTGTAGAGCACCACAGAAATATACAAGGGCTTTAAAATGTGGAAAAATTGGATTAAAGATACGTTTATGTTTGTGCAAAAATTTTTGAAATTCGTGAAGTTTCTCTCATAATGTGAACTCTCCATGAACTTTTTGAAGCCATCATAAAGTGTGGTCAACACTGTAGACTAGTGGGTCAGCTCTGGAGTCATATTGGGTGCAAATATCACACCATTATTTGTGATTTGAACAAGTGTGTCTCTGTGCCTCAATTTCCTCTAAGATAGGATAATACTAACTGGTCATAGTTGTGACAATTACCTAATCTTACTGTCACAATGATTAAAAAAATCTTCAGTAAGTTCTTATCAAAGTCTAGTACTGGAACTAGTTCTAGAAATAGTTCCTGCAAAACCCTATTTCCTCTTTAATCTCCACACATCTGCATACTTGGCAAGGGCCTACAGACAAACAGTTTGCATTGCTGTGGCAGCCACATCAACCAAGCAGCAGGCAATTTTTATCTCCAAGGAATTATCATTCCCTGTCCATCCTTACTGGCACAGCACACACGGCTGTGTGTCCCGGCACCAGTTTTGAAACATCTTGCCTGTAGAAGAAAAAGCAAAAGCAAAAAACTGACACCTCAGTCTAACTACCAAATTCCAAAAGTCAAGAGAACTTCTGGAAGTATGTTCTGGAAGTACATATTTGCATGGAGGACAATGAAAAGATTGATAACTTAAAGAGCAAGATTGCTAGGAGATGGACTGGGTAATGACCACCATTACATGTACCACTGTTATTCAAGAGGTCAGGAGCTATTTTTATTTTTTTGCAAGGATAAACAATATTGGGGGCCATGTTATTATTATCTGTAATTTACAGATAAGGAGTTGTCCAAGATCATAGAGCTACAAAGAGGCAGGAATCCATGTCACTCTGTTAGAATCCAAGCTCTTGAGCATTTGATCAATCCCCAGTGCTATTAGAATGATCACACTAGAAGGGTGAAGAACAGGGTTAGAATTAGAGAAATGCACATGGTACTGTTAGGGTCAAGAAACGTCCACCGCCCCAGGAACAACTCCAAGAGACACACTAATGCAGTCAGCAAGGGGTTTCTTCAAACCAGCATGCTGGAGCTCTCTGAACATGCAGGAACAGAGCAGCCCCCAGAAGTCAAGGGTCAGGATTTTTATAGGGTTTTCAGAGACATTCCACACATTATGGTGCCATTTACCAGATCATCACACTGAGGGAAGCTCATTAGCAAATCACCTCACACCGCACCCGGAAACTCAAACCACGTGTGGGGAGTTCAAAGGACATCTCCTGCAAGGGTTCCGTAGCTTTGGCTGCTTATCCTCACACAGGCACAGCTGCAAAGATAAGGAACCCAAACTATACAACCCCCGCACCACAGGGTTTCAGCTTTGGGGAAGGAGGTTTGGGCCTGCAATTTTCTAGCTGAATTCTTCATTTCTCCCCTTCTACTGGTAACTATGGGGGCCAATCATGGTCCCCTTCTGCCCACTCTAATGGCCTGCTCGTCTAGGGGCTAGTATTGAGATGGCAGGACCATCAACTGTACAGTGCTGACCCTTGTCTTCTAGTCAGGATCTATAACAAAGGACAGAAAGATGCTGTCTAAGCCAAATAGAAACTGACAGAAGGGGCTTGATAATAATCAGGTGGGCTTTAAAGCCTTGTAAGTTAAGAGACCCAGACCTCTGTTTACATAGGGTACATCCTAAGGGAGGTGAGAACCTCCTTGGGGAGGGCACCCTGTTGACTTCCATTACCTAGCTGGCCTGGGAGGAGAGCTGGCCAGGTAAAGGCAGGTGGCATCTCTAACAGGAAATTTACAGCTCTGCCTGCAGTGTTGCTGACCCTACTTGGCTGTCCCCTCAGCTGCAGTGGTCACTTGGGAAGCTGGGCTGAGTGAAGGGCTTTTTAGCTTAGAGCCAATGAGATCTGTGGCTCTGACCTGGGTGTCCTTCGACTCCAGGGCAGGTCCATTTCCAGTGATCCAACTCTTGGCAGAGCTGCCAGGGCTCTTCACAAGCTTACTTCTATTGAGGCCCAGGCTTGCCACGTTGAAAGCCACTGCAGTTGGGTCTCCTTGAGGGCAGATCATTGTACAGAGCAGCCATTAATAGGTCTGCCACCCACTGCTTCTGATGCCTAGCTTTCTTTTCCTCCTGGTTTTTGTTAAAGCAGAGCAGAGGATGCAAGCCAAGGGGTGCTCAAGTCCCATCTCTAATCTTCAGTGGAAGTCTGTAGTCACAGGCACATTCTGCCATCATTTATATTGAGGCAGACAATGCCCATGAGGAAAACTATATTTTGAAAGGGAGGTCTTTCCTGTTTACCTCGCTGATGGCAAAGTAAATCTAAGAAATAATAATTTAAGCTCTTATTTTGGCTATGCCATTACAGAAAAATGCTAGCCATCTAGAGAAATGGGGAGCCGTCCCAGATTGCTGACTGACAATAGCAATAGCACATGAAAACTTAGAAAGCAGTTTTGACCATTAGATAACAACCTAAGAACATTTACCGGAAGGTCCAATGCCTTTCATAAATAATACATATATTTGGAAACATCTCTTAAATATCTAACATGATGTAGCTTGTTTAACCAGCAAATTTAACCTAAGCTAACCATACTTTCTCACAGTTGGTACCTTTAGTATGTTATTGGCTTCATCTGGTTACAGAGTCATCCCAAAGCACTGAATATGATACTTGTGGCTGGAAAAATTCCATCAGAACCTATAGGAGGATTGCTAAACACAGAACCAAAAATGCTTTAGTTTTATGAGCAGCCAATCTGATATGTATAAAACTGTAGATGACAAGATTTTAAGTTGCCACATTTAAGATTATAAGCTTATTAACCACCAAGAGGCACTTGCTTACTTCACAGTATTTTTGAAAGCACATGAAGGATTCTACAAAGTATTTAACTCTTTTAGGCCCCTGGGGCTTTCTCATTAAGATAACCATTGTGTCTAGTAACACACGATGATTAGACTTTAACTTTTCACCACTTTACATTTTGACAGTAATTCTGATATAATCCAAATAGCCTGATTAGTTGGTGTCTCTACAAGATGAGAGACATGTTCTTTGACAACTTACAAATTGGCCCTTGGAAATTGTCGAAGTTTAAATGTTTGAAATTTCAATTTCTTTTGAATGACTCAAGGATGCCATGAAGGCTCAAAATCAAAAATATCTGGTTAACATTCTGTGGCTTCCTCACACTTTCTGTAACTTAAAGCATCATCATTTCCATTTTATTCTAGAGTAAACTAGCCATCAGGATGGAGTCATTTTTACAAACCATGTTTTTGAAAAAACACTTTTCGACCCAGCCATCCCACTCCTTGGAATTTACCCAAAGGAATTTAAATTGGCAAACAAAAAAGAGGTCTGCACCCTAATGTTTATTGCAGCTCAATTCACAATAGCTAAGACCTGGAACCAACCTAAATGCCCATCAACGATAGACTGGATAAAGAAATTATGGGATATGTACTCTTTAGAATACTATACCGCAGTAAGAAACAACGAAATCCAGTCATTTGCAACAAAATGGAGGAATCTGGAACACATCATGCTGAGTGAAATAAGCCAGTCCCAAAGGGACAAATACCATATGTTCTCCCTGATCGGTGACGACTGACTGAACACCAAGAGGGAAACCTGTTGGAGTGAGGTGGACACTATGGGAAACGGTGGCTTGATCAGCATAGCCCTGACTGTTAATGAACAACTTAATACATTATCCCTCTTAGTAGTTTTTTTGTCTGTTCTACTTAATATGACTGGTTTAATTCTGTAATTAATACACAGTTATTCTTAAGTGTTGAAAATTAACTGAAATGTGATCCCTGTTGAACATGGTGGTGGGAATGGGAGAGGGAAGAGATGTATAATTTGGGACATGCTCAGGCTGACTTGCCCCAAGTGGTGGAGTTGGAAGCATACCAGGGGATTCCAATTCAATCCCATCGAGGTGGCATGTACCAATGCCATCTCACTGTTCCAGGTGATCAGTTTCAGTTCACAGTTGGTCATGGTGGAGGGACTGGGAGTCAAAGGGAGCACATAGACAAGTCTAGTACCTGCTAACACTAACCGATGGAGTAAATAAAGGGGAGAGTGATCCAACATGGGAAGTGAGATACTCAGCAGACTCATAGAATGGCAGATGTCCTAAATAGCACTCTGGCCTCAGAATCAGCCCTAAAGGCATTCGGAGCTGGCTGAAAAGCTCATGAGAGTATTTCAGGCATGGAAAGCCAAGACACTCTGGCAAAAGATCTCTGTGAGTGAGATCCCAGTGGAAAGAACAGGTCTTCAAAGAAGGAGGTACCTTTCTCTGAAGGGAGGAGAGAACCTCCACTTTGACTATGACCTTGTCTAAACAAGATAAGAGTCGGAGAACTCAGAGGGCTTCCATAGCCTTGGAAACTCATGACTGGAGCATAGGGAGATTACTGATGCCATAGACAGGAGTGTCAATTGGTAAAGTCAACAACAGGAGTCACTGTGCACTTACTCCTCATGTAGGATCTCTGTCCTTAATGTGCTGTACATTGAGATTTAATGCTATAACGAGTACTCAAACAATATATTTCACTTTGTGTTTCTATGGGGGTGCAAACTGTTGAAATCCTTACTTAATGCATAGTAAACTGATCCTCTGTAAAAAAAAAAAAAAAAAAAAAGAAATTATCAATTCCCAACTTGACTCTCACTGGGATTAAACATGACAATAGGTCTGCTCTGATTTCATCATCATTTAAAAAAAATCATCTATTAGTTTTCACTTTATGTTTCTGTGTGGGAGCAAACTGTTGAAATCCATACTTGATGTATACTAAGCTGATCTTCTGTATATTAAGATAATCAAAATGAATCTTGATGTGAATGGAAGGGGAGAGGGAGTGGGAAAGGGGAGGGTTGTGGGTGGGAGGGACGGTATGTGGGGGAAGCCATTGTAATCCATAAATCATACTTTGGAAATTTATATGCATTAAATAAAAGTTTAAAAAATAAAAAAAAAAGTTTAAAACAAAAAAAAAGAAAAAGAAAAAACACTTTTTAACCTTTCTTATTAAGCACGTAATTTTATACCTGTGATGTTTTTTATCTGCCAATTTTCTTGATTTTGGAATAACCTGTTAAGAATCTCCAAATTAAGGCAGCATTTTTAAACAAGGCAACACATCAAATTTCAGCCTCAATCTCCCAATAGTGGTAGGCACCCCATACCTGGGTGAGATCTTGATCAGCAAAACCCTGGTGCCTTTTCTGGCTTTTTCTGTTCTGGTGTGGAAGGACTCCACTCAGCCTGAGTCCTGCAAACAGTAACAGGTATCCTTAGCCTCTGCTGGGTAGTAACTTAGCAAAGTCTATCTCTAGGCCTCCAAACAGGCTTCGTCCTGTTCTTCATATTCCTGGTGGCTGTGAGGGCCCCCGTTTGGCATTGCTGCAGGCACAAGTTTAACATCTCTGAGTTACATTTCTGTCAAGCATGGGGAGCACTGTCATAATACCAGTTGACCAGAACTTCTAAGCTGTTTTCCCCGTGTGAGTGTTTCCATGGAGCTGATGAAGCAGAGAGTAGGCCAGGTGATCTGGGACAAAAAGTGTCTGTTGGGAAGAAGCCACCATCCATCCCAGCAGTGACTAACAGCACCTGCTGCCGGCTCCCAGATTGCACCCAGTCAACAGATACCTGGTACTGCCTCTGAAACAGACTTGTTAGGCAGCTGCAAGACGGGTCCCAAGAGTGACTGTGGGCCAGGGGGCTGGGGTGTCCTGGGTGAAAAGCTCACCAGAGATTAACTTGATTTAGAAAAACTAAGTTATTACTACCCCATGCCTACAGGCAGCTGACCTTTCACCCCTCCACTCCCAGCAAAGGGGTGGAGTTAACATACCACAAAACAGAGTTAGAAGTCTAAAATGCCCCCCTTGGTTGCACAAAACAAAAGGTAAAAACCTCTGGAACAGGCACTGATCTGGACTGAGATCGCTTCGCCCGCCTGGTGAACACGGAGCTGCAGGTTAGGGCCCATTCAGACTCCGTAGCTGCAGGGCTGTGGAGCCACAAACACATTTACACCATGTACGTACTCTCTTCCATTACAGACACCAACAGGTACCTGGTAGAGGAGCAACAGAAGCCCCCGCTTCCGCACAAAGGCGGGCCTGAGTACAGAGCGCCCCAGGGAGACTTACCGGGTCCTGAAGTCCAGGAGATCTGTCCACTTGCCCCATTTGGTCGGCCATGGGGAGTCAGTCTGGGGGGAATGGGTATGGCTCTGGGAGTTAGGATCCCAAGGAATGAGTTGGGAGGCGCACCTTCCCACCCTCCACCTGCCATTCCTGGGCCCCAGCTGAGTCCTGCAGGTTGAGGCTCAAAGGGCCAGCTTTGAACACACAGGGGGTTCCAGGCACTTGCTAATGGCACAGCAGGGGTTTCCCTGCTGCATGTGAAGGGAGAGTGCAGGGATCTGCTGGCCCCTGGGGAGCTGCTTCTTGTACCCTCTCCTGTGCCCCCGCTGCCAGCCCCACAGCCAGGGCCAGGCCTGGCAGCTGGTAGGGAGGAGGGAAAATCAAATCTTCAGTCACCCTGCAAAACAGAACAGAGCGGCGCCGAGGCTGAAGTCTTAGTTTTCTTTTTATCTGCTTTGCCGGGACAGTCCTGGATGGCTAAAATCTCCTTCGAAGGCTGTTCCTGAGGGAGTGAAAAGGCTTTAACCAGGAAAGGGAGTTTCTACCAGATCTTGCCAGACCAGGATGTCAAGGGTGCCCTCAGGCGCCCACCCTACTTCAAAGGTAGACCAATCTGAGAACAAAGGGTGGTTAGTCTCCCTTTCTAAGAGTTGTCTAAGTCTGTCCCATTATACCAGTTTCAGAAAGGTAAATACAAACAGCTAAAAACAAACACCAAAGAGACTCACAAAAAAGGACACTGAACAAAACAAAAAAAGACAAAAATGGACCATTGGCCTCACGCTGCACTGCAGGAGTGACCCACTTCCTTCCTACAGAGGTGGGGAGCCTTGTCCCCTACAGAGTAGACACAGTCTGACCCATGGTTTCAGATAACACAAGGTACAGGAACAGGGAGACAATGACAGAGATCAACACACAATGACCAGTTAGAGTGTCTGTAAGAACCCTAAAATAAAACGCAGGCCACACCAGGCCAGCCATACAGACTGCGCTGGCAATATAGATGCAGACTTAATGTCTACCCGACGGAAGCCCCTGGGCGTCCCCAGCCTTCCTTTTTCCTCCTGGGGCATCCCCCAGGGCCATTACCTGTGGCCCCCTGGGCACATCTGTTGGCCACAGTCGGGGAGGGCTCACGCACCTGCCCCAACAGCTACTACACCAGTGCAATAACTCTCAAAACCAGAAAGTTGAAGAGACCTAGAGCGCTCACAGACTACCGGAATAACAACACAACATAGAATAACAAGAATAGGCGCCTTTACTTACCCTGAGAGATATCCGTTGGAGGCGTCCACAGGCAGCAGACCAGATCTCCCAGGGGCCTCCAAATGTTAGGGTCGAGAAATGTCCACCACCCCAGGACACACACATGCAATCAGCAAGGGGTTTATTCAACCAGCATGCTGGAGCTCTCTGAACACGCAGGAACAGAGCAGCCCCCAGAAGTCAAGGGTCAGGGTTTTTATAGGATTTTCAGAGACATTCCACACATTATGGTGCCATTTAGAAAAACATCAAACAACGAGGGAAGCTCATTAGCAAATCACCTCACACCACACCCAGAAACTCAAACCACGTGTGGGGAGTTCAAAGGACATCTCCTGCAAGGGTTACACAGCTTTGGCCACTTATCCTCACACAGGTGCAGATGTAAAGATAAGGAACCCAAACTATACAACCCCCGCCCCACAGGGTTTCAGCTTTGGGGAAGGAGGTTTGGGCCTGCAATTTTCTAGCTGAATTCTTCAGTACATTGTTGAAATAACACTGTCGGATTTGGGATTCACCCAGGTGGAATCTGTTGAGCTAAGACTGCACAGTTGTATACGGATTTTAACTCTCAGAGCTAGATGAATTTCCCAAAGATATTTACACCTGGAAACATCTGATTCACTTCATGCTATTCTTACTTTGAGTGGGCAAAGCCCTATAGGTAGACTAGAAAGAAAGCAAAGGGACCAGTCATGGAATAGTAGGCAAGGACTGAAAATGACTAGGTTCAGGTGATGGTGAGAATATTTGGAAGATATTAGTAAAACACGTAGATTTTGGCTATATTCCTTTTAACAACAGAACTCAGGACAAGTCACTTCACTTCCTTGAATCTTGTTCCTTATATGCGAAGTGGTTTCATGTTATCTACTTCTTTGGTTTGTTGGGAGAGGCAAATGTCATCAGGTAAGTTATCCAAATCTCTTGTAAGCTGTCAAGTTTTAATTGAGAGTCAATATTATTGATTTCAATATCTGATTCTCAGGCTATTTTTTAAGATACCAAAGCCCCCTCCTATTTGGATTTAAAAAGCTGATGTTCACAGCAAGCACCTGGTAGCTGTCTTCAAAATTTGAGAATCAAAATCAAGTGTTTAATGCCTATGGAATTTTATCAGACACTGCCTTTTGTAATGCCTTCCCCCAGGATTTCATAAAAAATACCAGGCATCTTGGAAATAAAACCAACTTTTACATTATGGTTCTAGTGTCATGGTGTTTATCCCATGCAAGTGCCATCTCAGAACAGAGAATGCTGTTTTGCACACACAGCTGCAAAGAAGAATATACAAAATCAGCCACAGAGATACAAGCACCATCTCTCTGGAAGAGGACCAGCCAGTTGGAAAGGAATAAGCCAGTTTATGTCAGGGTGGCTTGATGGTATCCTTGTATTAGAAGCTAGTGTCCAAATGTGCTCTGGTACTTCTGGGGTTTGCAGCAGAACATCTGGGTGGGAATCCAGGCACCGATTCTCAGCAGTTGTGTGACTCTATGTGAATCCGTTAAAAATTGGGAGATGTTTTTACATCTGAAAACAGGCTCTACTACCTGCTGCATAATTAGGTCATGGTGAAGATTAAATGAGCAAGTGTACATGTAGGGTATAGCAGGATATATGCACAGCATAACACTACATACCTGGCAGCATTTCTGCTCTTATTGGACCAGAAAGTGCCTCTTTATAATTCTTTCTGCTGAATGGGACTTCTTACTGCTGGCTCAGCAAAGAATAGCTTTACCTTCTCTCCTATGTGAGAGCTCTTAAAAAGCATCTGCCTGCAGTGCCATTATTCCATATGGAAGCCAGTTAGATTCCTGGCTATTCCACTTCTAATCTAGCCTCTTCCTAATGTGCCTGGAAAAGCAGTGGAAGATGACCCAAATCCTTCTGCCCTTGCACCCATGTGGGAGACCCAGAAGGATCTCCTAATTCCTGGCCTTGGCTTAGCTCAGCTCTGAACACTATGGCCATTTTGGGAGTAAACCACTGAATGGGAGATTCTCTCTCTCTCTCTCTCTCTCTCTCTCTTACTCTATATATCTATCTTTCAAATAAACAAATATTTAAAAGATATTTGAATATGGGGCTCCAAGATGGAAGAATAGTAACAGGGTGGTCTGATTTAAGCTAGGCAAAACTAATATTTAAAATAAGGGTATAAAATACACTCTCAGGATAAACCAGCAGGAAACTGCAGTGGGACATACTGAAAAAGTAGTAGAAACGGTGTGGACCCATGCTGAAAGAGCAGACATGCAATAAAAGACCCACAAGCTTACATTCAAACTAGGTGAGAGCTGACTCCATGGATGCATGATGCTGCTGATACAGCAGGAGGGAGTGCTTAGTGAATGGCGTGTTTTAGAGTCCCACCCAGATCCTCTAGAGAGGTGGGGGGGAAGCAGACCTCTATGTGGTACTATCCCCTCCCCCACCCCACTACAACAGACATACAGCCAGCAGTGGGAGGCCTGTGCCACTTTTGGACACAAGCAGGTAGTGGCTGCCCCAGCTCCTGTGTGAACTCCCAGAAATTACTGGGATAACCTTCTATATCTAACTGGCTAGGGCAACCACAGTGATTCAGGAGAAACCAAGGGAAAAAGACCCCTCCATGCCAGTTACACCCACCCGGCAATGGGGGGAGGAAGGAGAGCCATCCCCACAGAAGGGAAGTATCACATGGTGGACTCTCCTATGTTTGCAGCACGATTGTGAAATGAGCAGAGCTGTGGTGGTACTTTGCGCACCTGTGAACCACAGATCTATCAGGAGACAACAAAAACCCTGCATTCCCTACAGACATCAAATCTGATTCAATCCAGTGAACTAGATCTCACACAAACAGTGGCTCTGGGAACACCTTAATTTCCTGGCAGAGAGAACTGGCTAGTGGGGCTGAATGGCCCCACTGGCACTCCATGACCCTCAGAACCTGGGAGCTGAGATTGAGAAAATACTGTGACTGCTTAAGAGGATGCAGGGTGTCACTGGATTCTAGGCAGCCACAGAGTGTTTCTACACACTCTCAGGGCTCCTGGGTTGCCTAGAGTAGCTGATAGCAGAGGGAAATATGTTCATAGGAAAGACTCCATAGATCATATGTGCATTTCTTACAATGGGTGCGGATGAGAAATGAGCATACTGGGGACTAACAGTTGTTCCTCAGCTGAGAGAAGGGCTGGTCACACTAATAGTGGTAATCAATCCTCTCCATCCTGTTAACCAGAGAAAGGCTAACATGCTCAACTTGGGTTTCCCTGGATACTTGCCCCATCCTGGAGAGCTGAACAGAGTTCCATAGCCACACCCAGCACACACCATCTGTTATTCACTGAAAGTGTAGAATCCCAATAAGCCCTCGAGGCACAGATCAAAGATAAAAGCCACCAAACAAAAATATCTACAAATGCCTAAAAATAAAGGCAAAAGTTCAAGAAACAATAATACGGAAGACACTATGAGCCCCACAAAGGAAGAGTACAACATTTCAATATTAGAATGTGAAGACGAAGAGGTTGAGGAATGCTTGAAATGGAATTTAAAAAATAAATGAAATGCTAGAAATGAAGAACACTAGATCAAATAAACAATGCAATGGAATTTCTTAACAACAGAGTTGGTGAGACAGAAGAAAGAATATCCAAGCAAAATGATAAAACTGGAAATTTGGCTGGCGCCACGGCTCACTAGGCTAATCCTCTGCCTGCAGTGCCAGCACTTCAGGTTCCAGTCCGGTTGGGGCGCCGGTTCTGTCCCGGTTGCTCCTCTTCCAGTCCAGCTCTCTGCTATAGCCCAGGAAGGCAGTGGAGGATGGCCCAAGTGCTTGGGCCCTGCACCCGCATAGGCAGACCAGGAAGAAGCACCTGGCTCCTGGCTTCAGATCTGCATAGCACACCAGCTGCAGCGGCCATTGGGGGGTGAACCTTGCTCTCTGTCTGTCTCTCTCACTAACACTGCCTGTCAAAAATAAAAAATAAAAACTGGAAATTTTACAGTCAAACCAAAAATAGCAAGAAGAAATTAGAAAACTAAAAAACTGTGTTGAAGATCTATGGGATACTATCAAAAGATCCAAATATGAGTCTTAGGAGTGCATGAGGTGTAGAAAGAAAGAAGGGACTAGAAGGCTTACTTAGTAAAATAATTATAGGAAACTTGCCTAACTTGGAAAAAGAAAGGAATTTCCAAGTACAAGAAGCACATAGAACTCACAACAGATATGACTAGAAAAGATCTTCACGACAACACATACTAATCAAACTTTCCATGGTAAAGCATAAAGAAAAGATTCTAAACTGTACATGAGAAGAACACTAGGTAACTTGAGGATCTCCAATTAGACTCACAACTGACTTCTCACCAGAAACCCTACAGACTAGAAGACAATGGCAAGGTACAGTCCAAATTTTAGAGGGAGAAAAAAAAACTGTCGACCTAGAATACTGTACTCTGCAAAGTTCTCATTTATAAATGAAGGTGAAACAAAGACCTTCCATAACAAGCAGAAATTGAAAGAATTTGTCACCACTCATTCAGCATTACAAAAGATGCTTAAGGATGTACTACACACAAAAATACAGAAAGAAAGCCATCACTGTGAAGAATGCAAAGACAGAAAATCCCTCAGTAAAAGAACAAAAGGACTCCAAAGCCAACAACAGGAACATTTGCAGACAAATGGCAAGGTCAGGTAGTCACTTATGAATAGTTACCATACATGTAAATGGTCTCAACTCTCTAGTTAAAGGTACAGACTGACTGAATTGATTAAAAAAAATCCATCTCTTTGCTAACTACAAGAAAAACACCTCATCAGCAAAGATATATGTAGAATGAAAGTGGAAAGTTGGAATAAATACTCCATGCTAATGGGGAAAAAAGGGCAGGCATAACCATCCTAATATCAGACAAAATAAAATTTAACACAAAAACTGTTAGAAGAGACAAAGAAGGGGATTATTTAATGATCAAGAGATCAATATAACAGGAAGATGTTACAATAATAAATGTATATGGACCCAAACACAGGGCACCTGTCTACCTAAAAGAACTATTAATGGATCTAAAGGGAGACATCGATTCCAATACAATAGTAATGAGGGGTTCATCAACAATGGGGAACTTCCATCTCACTTTCATCACTGGATAGATCGAACAGACAGAAACTCAACAAAGAAACAACAGAGATAATTGGCACAATGGACCAATTGGAACTAACTGATATCTATAGAACTTTTCACCCACAGTGGCAGAATACACATTCTTCTCAGCAGTGTGCAGAACTTTCTTTAGGATAAACCAAATACTAGAAAGACCATAAAGCAAGTCTCAATGCACTCAAAAAAATCAATATCATACCATGTACCTTCTTTGATCACAATACACTGAAGCTCAAAATGAACAACTAAGAATCTCAAGAACATATGCAAATACATAGAGACTGAACAGTATGCTCCTAAACAAACAGGGGGTCCCAAAAGAAATTTAAAAAATTCTGAAAAAAAAATGAAGATGACTGTACTGCATATCAAAACTTATGTGATTTAGAAAAGGCATTGTTAAGAAGGAAATTTATAACAATTACTGCATACATAAAGTAACTGGAGTTTCACTAAATAACTGAGCTCTCAATGCATCCTAAGGACCTTTAGAAAAAAACAAACCCCAAATTACTAGGAAGAAATAAATAAAATTGAAACAAAAAAAAAACAATATGAAAGATCAATGAAATGAAGAGCTGGGTTTCTGAAAAAGTAAGAAAATAGACACACCATTGACCCTACTAATCAAAAAAGAAGGAGATCCAAATCAACATAATCAGAGATGAAAAAGGAAATGTAACAACCGAGACCACAGAAATAAAAATAATCATCAGGAATTCCTATAAAGTTCTGTATGCCAACAAATCAGGAAACCTTCCTGGAAACATATTGCCCACTTAAATTGAACCATGAAGACAAGGAACATCTAAACAGACCAATAACCCAAATGGATATTGAATGAGTAATAAAGACCCTCCAACAAAAAAAGCTCAGGTCCGGACAGCTTCACTGCTGAATTCTACCAGACATTTAAAGAACTCATCCCAATTCTTCTCAAGCTATTCAAAATAGTTGAAAGAGGGAATCCTTCCAAACTCCTTCAATGAAGGCTGCATCATCTTAATACCTGAGCCAAAAAGACATGACAGAGAAAGAGAACTATAGACCAATATCCCTGATGTATATAGATGCAAGAATCCTCAACAAAATACTAGAAAATTGAATCCAACAACACATCAGAAAGATCATTCACCTGGACCAAGTGGGATTTATCCCTGGTATGCAGGATGATTCAACATCCAAAAATCAATGAAGCTGATAAATGACATTAACAAACTGAAGACCAAAACCCACACAATTATGTTGATAGATGCAGAGAAAGCTTTCGACAAAAATTAAATGCACTCTTTTGATGAAAAATTTAAGCAAATTGGGTGAAGAAGGAACATTCCACAACATAATCAAAGCAATTTATAACAAATGCATGGGGGGAAGGTGCCACGGCTCACTGGGCTAATCCTCCACCTGTGGCGCCGGCACACCGGATTCTAGTCCGGATTGGGGCAACGGATTCTGTCCCCATCGCTCCTCTTCCAGGCCACCTCTCTGCTGTGGCCCGGGAGTGCAGTGGAGGATGGCCCAAGTGCTTGGGCCCTGCACCCCATGGGAGACCAGGAGAAGCACCTGGCTCCCGTCTTTGGATCAGCGTGGTGTGCTGGCTGCAGCGGCAATTGGGTGGTGAACCAATGGAAAAGGAAGACTTTCTCTCTGTCTCTCTCTCTCACTGTCCACTCTGCCTGTCAAAAAAAATGCATAGGGCACAAGCTACTGAATGGGGAAAAATTGGAGGCATTCCCATTAAGATCAGGAACAAAAAAAGGATGTCAGCTCTCACCACTGCTGTAAAATATAGTCATGGACATTTTAGCTAGAGCCATCAGGCAGGAATAAAAGAAATCAAAGGCATACAAATAGGGAAAGAAGTCAAACTATCCCTATTTTCTTTTTTTTTTTTTTTACTTTATTTGATAGGCAGAGTTATAGACAGTGAAAGAGAGACAGAGAAAGGTCTCCCTTCCGTTGGTTCACTCTCCAAATGGCTGCTATGACCAGCACTGTGCTGATCCGAAGTCAGGAGCCAGGTGCTTCCTCCTGGTTTCCCCTGTGAGTGCAAGAGCCCAAGCACTTGGGCCATCCTTCCCTGCCCTCCTGGGCCACAGCAGAGGGCTGGACTGGAAGAGAAGCAACTGGGACTAGAATCCGGCACCCATATGGGATGCTGGCACCGCAGGCAGAGGATTAACCAAGTGAGCCACGGTGCCAGCCCTCTATCGCTATTTTCTGATGACATTATAGGGAATCCAAAAGACTACATGGAGAGAATATTGAAACTGATATAAGAGTTTGGTAAAGTAGCTGCATATAAAATCAAAGCATAAAAATGAATAGACTTTGTATACATAGACAATGCCATACCTGAGAAAGAATTTCTAAGATCAATCCCATTCACAATAGCTATAAAAATTAAATACTTTGGAGTAAATTTAATCAAGGACACCAAAGATCTTTGCAATTAAAATTACAAAACATTAAAGAATGAAATTGAAGAAGACATAAAGAAGTGGAAAAATTTTCCATGTTCGTGGAATGGAGGAATCAAGATCTTCAAAATATCCATACTACTGAAAACAATTTATAGATTCAATGTAATCTCAATCAAAATAGCAACAACATTATTCTCACAATTTCTATAGAAAAACTGATGCTAAAATTCATATGGAAATACAAGAGACCCTGAATAGCTAAAGCAATCTTAAACAACATAAACAAAGCTGGAGGCATTACAATACCAGAACTAAGGCATACTACAGGGCCTTTATAATCAAAAGAGCCTGGTACTGACACAGAAACATCCATTTAGACCAACGGAGCAGAACTGAAAACACAGAAATAAGACATGCATCTACAATCAACTTACCTTTGACAAAGGAGCAAAAATAAAATCCTGGAGCCAAGACAGTCTCTTCAACAAATGGTGCTGGGAAAATTGGTTCTCCACATGCAGAAATAGGAAGCAAGACTCCTGTCTTACACCTTACTCAAAGATCCACTCAAAATGAATCAGAGACCTAAATCTATAATGTGATACCATCAAATTTCTAGAGAACGATGAGGAAACCCTACAAGACATCTGCATAGGGAAAGACTTCTTGGAAAGGACTCCATAAGCACAGGCAATCAAAGCCAAAATTAACAAGTGGGATTACATCAAATGGAGAAGCTTCAGCAGTGCAAAAGAAACAACAAAGTGAAGAGGCAACCAACAGAATGGGAAAAAATGCAAAAAATGCAACTCACAAAGGACTAACGTCCAGATACTATAAAGAGCTCAAGAAACTCAACAACTACAAAACAAACAATACAATTAAGAAAAGGGCAAATGACTTGAACAGAAATTTTGCAAGAGAGGAAATTCAAATGGCCCATAGACACATAAAAAAATGCTCAGGATTGCTAGGCATCAGTGAAACGCAAATCAAAAGCACAGTGAGCTTTCACCTTACCTACGTCAGAATGGCTTACATACGGAAATCAATATACAACAAATTCTGGCAAGGATGTAGGGAGAAGGGTAC